CTGCGGTGCCGAGCAGGGGGGATCAGAAAGAGGAGGGGGGAGGAAAGGCGCAGCAGCAGGCCGTGCCTGCCATTCTGAGACCTGCTGCTGATCAGTCTACAATTTCCCCCCAAGTCCTTGTCCTCCTCCACATCCTGTGCCAGAGCGACTGGGAAGGCCGTACCCCGCCGAAGGACCGAGGGGAATGGCCGCACTGGGACGGACGTGTTCGTTTCGCTGCCGCGGCTCCTCGCCCTCTTCCGACCCCTCCCCATGTTCCCTCTGTTGCTGCTGCTGTTTCTCCTCCTCCTCCTCCTCCTCCTCCTCCTCCTCCTCCTCCTCCTCCTCGGTGGAGGAGGGAGGAGGACAAGAACGAGAACGAGGCAAACGAGGTAACCGAGGACGACGACGACGACGACGACGACGGCGGTCGACGGCGAGGACGACGACGACGACGACGACGACGACGACGACGACGACGGCGGTCGACGACGGCGACGACGACGACGACGACGACGACGACGACGACGACGACGACGGCGACGACGGCGACGACGACGGCGGACGACGGCGGCCCTCCTCGCGCCGTGCGCAAGGCCGAACGGGGCCGCAGTCTGCGCCGGCGGCGGCGCGGGGTCCGCGCCGCCCAGCCAGTCGTCCATGCCTGGTGGGGGGCGGCAGCAAGCGCCGGCCGACGAGGGCGACGGCGCCGCTGGCCGAGGACGGCGCCGCCGCCGAAGTCGACCCCTCAGGGCACCACGAGGACGACGGCGACGCCCCTGCCGGAGGAGGAGGAGGGGGAGGAGGACGAGGAGGAGGAGGAGGAGGAGGAGGAGAAGGAGGAGGAGGAGGAGGAGGATGAGGATGAGGAGGAGGAGGCCCACACGACCCTTCAGATCCCGGTCTGCCCTCGCGTTCGCATCCGAGGCTCCAAAATTCGATCGCTAGCCTCTGAGTGCCTTCCAGCAGCTGCGCCTCGCCGAGGGCGTTCCGGGGGTGCCCGAATCGTCCCCGACGGCCGCCGGAAGCCTGGGTTCTGATCCGATAACACACCTGTCGTTGCAACAAAAACGTTGCGGCCAGCTTTTCGACGTTCTCGGCATATCCCGTCCGGGCCCCGGAAGCCGTCAGCGGGCCGACGTCACAGCAGAAAAGCAACGTCGGAGGGGAGGGGCAGGCACTGCGCAGGACGGCGGGGACGGCGACGCCGACGACTGCGGCGACGACCAGGAGGGAAATGCCGAGAACGACGAGGGGGAGGAAGGGGAGACCACACGGTGAAGGAGGCGGGGAGGGGGGGAGCCCTGACTCCGGATCCGCCCTACTTTGGGGAAATTCGTAAGTAGTGCTTGGAATTTCCGCATTGCTTTTCAAGCCCCGCCAATTTCCGCCCTACTTTTCTGTGGCTGTTTCTGCCCTACTTCTGTGGATTGCCGCCCTATTTTATGTTGGGTGCAGAAATTTCCGCCCTATTTCTTCGGCTTCTTATAGGTGAATTTCCGATGCAATTTCACATTGGAAAAAAAAGCCAAAGTAGGGCGGATCTGGAGTCAGGGAAGGGGAGACCACACGGTGAGGGAGGCGGGGAGGGGGGGAGGGGGGGGGTATGCCGAGAACCCCTTCGTCAGGGACGTGCCCTTTTCCATACTTTTCCAATGGGGCTCTGCGACCGCACCCCCCCCCCCAACGGGACCCCCCTGGAGCCTCCTCCTCCTCCTCCTCCTCCTCCTCCTCCTCCTCCTTCCCCCCCTCCTCCTCCTCCTGCTCCTCCTCCTCCTCCTTCCCCTCCTCCTCCTCCTCTTTCTCCTCCTCCTCCTCCTTGGACGCACCCTGGACGCCCTTGCACACGGCCCCCTGTGCCTCCCGGGGCTTTCGACACGCAAAAAACCGGGCGTCCGAGGCCGCCCAGGAGGCCAGAGAACCGCCCCCAATCTAACCAAAAGGGCTGCCAGGCAATCCAAAAGAAGCCCGAAGACGGCCCAACAGGGCCCCAAGATGGCCCGAAGAGAGTCCATAGACGGCTCGAACTGGCCCCCAAACGCCCCCCGAATCACTCCAAATCGTGCCCTGGTCGCTCAGGGAGACCGCGGTTGAAGCAGTGTGGCCCAGGGAATCCCCCAGAGGCCCCGAGAAGGAAACCATGAGGCCTCCATAAGGCCCCAACAAGCCCTTACATACTTCTTTAAACATTGCGTGAGGCCCCCTAGGGGCTCTCCTAGGATGAGTTTCTGCAAAAAGAGCTGAAGATGGAGACAAACTCGCAGGTCAGGGCGAGAATGAGGAAGAGTAAGAAGAAACATGAGGGACATATTGCGAATCACATTATTACAACGACGATGCCAGAACACGCAACAACGAGCCATCGCTAAATGTTATGATTGACCTTCTGTCCTCCTGCCTCCATGCCAATCCTCAAGGACCAAAGTGCACTGGGCGAAGCACCAATGCAGACATGTATGCATCTATGTATATATAAACACCATACGCACCTCTCCGAAGGAGTAGAGCACAAAGGTGATAATTTGAAGCCGTCCCGTTCACGGTCTGTTTCGCCGTTTAGCTGGTGACATCCTCAACATTCCGAAAACCGGTCGCACCCCTCATGCAGATTGCGACCTCACCGTCTCAAGCCACCTGATGTTCAACATGTTCCCATGAAGCCTTCGAAAGCACAATGCATTTCAATAGTGTTGGGCGTCGCTCTTAGAAAAACAATTTCGCGTCCGACATCGCCCAAAAATTGGAACCCCACGAACTCAGCGTTGTCCTCATATTCTGCACAATGACAGTTTCGCTTCAAACACCCTTCAACAATTGGCTTCGGAACCCCTTTCCAACTGCAGCCGCAAAATCGTGGGACACCCTCCTGCGCCACGCACATCGCAAGGTGTCGCAACCCCCACCTGCGTTCGAGTGCAACCGCGCTGTTACACCTCCTTCCCAACAGCCCCCAGGGTGATCCGCACAATCCTCCTTCTCGTTTTTTTTCCTCTGATTTTCAATCTCCTTCATCTTCATCCTCAGACCCGACTCCATAGTCCTCTTCTTGCCCATGTTCTGTAATGCTTACGTGCTGCAATTATTTTCGTATGAGTCCGGGCACGCATGTGCCACTGGTACACACATACGCATGTAGAATATCAAAGAACGTGTTCCTTTTACAAGTTGTCAACTCGGAAGGCCCCTGGGCCAGACCCCGCCCCAAACGAACTTCGCCCTTCCCCATCCTCCTGGCCCCCCCTGCAGAGCGTTCACTCGGCCTTCGGGGCCTCCTGGACGTCCTTGCTGGACTTCTAGAGCGGGCCCGAAACGGTCCGAAGGGCGGCAAACCGGCCCCGCGAGGGTGCAAGTTGCCGAGGCCACCCACAAGACGCCCAAAACACACCCAAGAGTCCCCCGAAGCAAAACTATGCATGTGTAGGCCTCCGCACGCACCATGATCCACCCTTTCCTCCTGGAAGATGGCAAGGGGAAAGGGGCTGCTCAGGAGCGCGCGGCGGCCGCAGAGGCGGAGGTTTCGGGGTGGGTTGGCTCGTGTGTCGGAGGCGGAGGCTGTTGAGCACTGGGTGTTGTGTTATAGACGGAGGGAGTGGAGAAGAAGGATCTTTTCAAGGTCAGCTTTGGGAGGGAGCCTGTGGAGTGTTGGATGTTGTGGTGGAGACGGAGGCTGCTCAGTACTGGGTGTTGTGTTGTAGACGGAGGGAGTGGAGAAGTGGAGAAGGATGATCTTTTCAAGGTCAGCTTGGGGAGGGAGCCTGTGGAGTGTTGGATGTTGTGGTGGAGACGGAGGCTGCTAAGTACTGGGTGTTGTGTTGTAGTCGGAGGGAGTGGAGAAGGATGATCTTTTCAAGGTCAGCTTGGGGAGGGAGCCTGTGGAGTGTTGGATGTTGTGGTGGAGACGGAGGCTGCTAAGTACTGGGTGTTGTGTTGTAGTCGGAGGGAGTGGAGAAGGATGATCTTTTCAAGGTCAGCTTGGGGAGGGAGCCTGTGGAGTGTTGGATGTTGTGGTGGAGACGGAGGCTGCTAAGTACTGGGTGTTGTGTTGTAGTCGGAGGGAGTGGAGAAGGATGATGTTTTCAAGGTCAGCTTGGGGAGGGAGCCTGTGGAGTGTTGGGTTTTGTGGTGGAGACGGAGGCTGTTGAGTACTCTGTGTTGTGCTGTAGACGGAGGGAGTGGAGTAGAAGGTCATGTTTAAGCTCTGCTTGGAGAGATGGCCTGTTGAGTGCTGGGTGTTGCGGTGGAGACGGAGGCTGCTGAGTACTGAGTGTTGTGTTGTAGACGGAGGGAGTGGGGTAGAAGGATCTTTTCAAGTTCAGCTTGGGGTTAGAGCCTGTGGAGTAGTGGGAGCTGTGTTTGGGACGGAGGCTTTAGAGTATCGGGTTTGTGTTGTAGACGGAGGGAGTGGAGTAGAAGGATCTATCCAAGTTCTGCTTGGTGAGGGAGCCTGTTGAGTGATGGGTGTTGTGTTGGAGACGGAGGCTGTTGAGTACTGGGTGTTGTGCTGTAGACGGAGGGAGTGGAAGAGAAGTATCGTTTCAAGTTCAATTTGGGTGGGAACCTGTGGAGTAGTGGGCGTTGGAGACGAAGGCTGGTTAGTACTGGCTGTTGTGTTGAAGACGGACGGTGTTGAGTAGAAGGCTATTTTCAAGTTCTGCTTGGGGAGGGAGCCTGTTGAGTGATGGGTGTTGTGTTGGAGACGGAGGCTGTTGAGTACTGGGTGTTGTGCTGTAGACGGAGGGAGTGGAGTAGAAGGCTATTTTCAAGTTCTGCTTGGTGAGGGAGCCTGTCGAGCGCTGGGTGTTGTTTTGGAGACGAAGACTGGTTAGTACTGGGCGTTGTGTTGTAGACGGAGGTGCTAGGATAGAAGGTCCGAACTTGAGCCGAAAAGCCATTTCAAACAGAAGCCTCAACATTGAGTCCGAACACCTTATGGGTCATGTATGACTCCATGAAGGATATGCACAAAAGAGGGCTCATGGTGCGTGCGGAGGGCTGTTTCTGTGTATATACACACATTCGTATAGTTATTTATATATATTATATATATAGATAGATGTCTATATGTATATAATTGTAGGTTTATGTACGTGTAGCATGTATCTTGTTGCATGATTTGGGTAACTCAATTATTCGGTCTTCCGAGCGGCCGGGACCGCCCAACGGTCCCCGGGAATCGTTCAAACCGGGCTCAACAAGCTGCACAACAACGCAAGATAGCCCCGCGACGGCCCAACAGGGCCCCCCAAAAGGGCACCTCCATAAGCCCCCAAGAACCCCCCACGAAGCTTTCGTGAGGCCACAGAGAGACCCTACAAGCAGGAGCCTCCGCAACAAGACAAATGAACAAAGAGGACGGGGGAACTTGAACACGAATCTAATATTCCTCTCTCTCTCTCTCTCTCTCTCCCACTCTCTCTCATTCCGCCTGCATGCGAAACTTGAAGGACCAAGGTGCACGGCGCGAAGCGCCGATGCAGCTTTGCAGGTGTAATGTGAACGAACTTGTGTACATACCATAGTCTGGTGCTTGCCAGCGTAGCCCCCAAACAGTGATATGTTGCACTGTTGTGTGAGATACCTGGTGCAAACTATGTGGTACAAGCTACGTCGTGTAAGCTATGTGATGGAGGCCTACACATTGGCACCAACACCAACACAGGGGGTCATTGCCTCCACAGAGGGAAGATGATCCTAGATTTCGGAGCTGGTGGCAACATTTCGGTCACCCTGGAAGCCAGAATGTTACCACCGTCACCGAGATCGGGATCCTCTTCCCTCGGTGGAGCCACACCGCCGATGTTGGTGTCGGTGTCAACCTCGAGGCCTGCGAATGTGATGCAAGCTACCCGCATCCTTATCGCGCGCCTTTCTTCTACGGGAGGACTGTACACTCAGGAGGGGAAAAACACACAGGCACAATGAATCGGCGATCCCCAGGGAAATTATGGGAACATTTAGACCGTGGGGGGGAAGACGAAAACCCAGAAAGCAAAGAAAAACATGGGGCATCCTCGGACTTGTGTCTACTTACTTGTGTGCCCTTGGGCCCCTTCGTGCACGCTCGACGCCGATGCCCCTGGCGCTCCCACGGGCGGACCCTCAAAGGTCTGGACCCCTTACCCGGGACCGGTTTTTCGTCCTGGGTCGTTTCTTGACGGCCCCGAGGCCCGGGAGGAGAGGGCGGAGGAGGAGGAGGAGGAGGAGGAGGAGGAGGAGGAGGGGAAGAGGATGGGAGGAGGAGGAGGGGGAGAGGTAGGGGGATGAGAGTAGGAGGAGGAGGAGGAGGAGGAGGAGAGGAGGAGGAGGAGGAGGAGGAGGAGGAGGGGGAGAAAGGGAGGAGGGAGGAGGAGGAGGAGGAGGAGGAGGAGGAGGGGGAGGAAGGAGGAGGTCTAGGAGGAGGAGGGAGGAGGAGAGTAGGAGGAGGAGGAGGAGAGGGAGGAGAGGGAGGAGGAGGGGGAGGAAGGAGGAGGGGAGGGAAGGAGGGAGGATGAGGAGGAGGAGGAGGAAGGGGCCCCCGGGGGTCCGAGAGCGGCGGAAAAACCGCCCGTCGCGATCTTTTCCACAGCGCGAGGAGGTCGGGGTACCTCGCGCCCACGCCGCGCCCGCGAGGCGGACCCTCGCGAGGCACGCCTCCGGCGCTCGAGGCGCCCACGAGGCGCCCACGAGGCGGCCGCTCGGCCGGCGCTCGGGGGGCCTGCTTCTCCTCCTCCTCCTCCTCCTCCTCCTCACTCCTCCTCCTCCTCCTCCTCCTCCTTCCTCCTCCTGATCTATGACCTCCTGCGTGTTGTCCCCCCGTCCTCCTCCTCCTCTCTCCTCCTTCCTCCTGATCCTCCTCCTCCTCCTCCTCGCTCCTGATCCTCACTCCCCTCCTCCTCCTCCTCCTCCTCCTCCTCCTCCTCCTCCTCCTCCTCCTCCTCCTCGCCAAGGCCTTCCCCGAGCAGGTCGGCCTCGCCTGCGCACACGGGGCGCCCACGGGGCGCCGACGGGGCGGCCACCGGGCGAGAAAGCCTTGGGGGCCATGCCGAGTGCTCAGAGCACACGTGGGGCCCCGGTGTGCGACAAGCACTGTTTGGGGGGAAAGGAGGAGGGCAGGATGGGGGGAGGAGGAGGGGGATGCGAGAGGGAGGAGGAAGAGCAGAAGGCAAGAGCAGGGCAAGGAGGACGAGAAGAAATAGGAGAAGGGGGGGGAGGAGGAGGGGAGGAGGATGAGGAGGAGGGGGAGGACGAGGAGGAGGAGGAGGAGGAGGAGGAGGAGGAGGGGTCCCTGTACAGTCGGACTTGATTGAACAGGACGCGCGAGAGGACACGGTGCCCTTCCAAGGGCCACATTGCCATAGGAATGTAGGAGGCATGGGTCGCGAGACACAGGACACAAGGGTACCCTTGATTTGGCAGGGTCGACCTACTGATCTTGGCCGACTGTATGCGGAAGCACTGTTTGGGGAGTGTGGAGGGCAGGATAGGGGGAGTAGGGTGATGTGAGAGGGAGGAGGAAGAGTAGAAGGCATGAGAAGGGCAAGGAGGACGAGAAGAAAGAGGAGGAGGAGGTGGAGGAGGAGGAAACAGGAGATGGCGGCGGCGGGGGGGAAGAAGTATGATGGAGGGGAGGAACGGATCCGACGGGGGGCCCGAGGGAGGGAGAGAGAGAGAAGAGGAGAAGGAGGAGGAGCAGCAGGAGGAGGAGGAGGAGGAGCAGGAGGAACGATTGTCTTCTGAGGCCCGCGCCCAGGAGGTCGCCGACGGGCGCCTGCGCCGCAGCTGGCACTGCTGGCGCGGGTGCCGGAGGGCCTCGGGGGGCCGCACTGGCTGGCTGCAGCCGCTGCTGATGCTCTTTCCTCCTCGGCACATCTCCTCCTCCTCCTCCTCCTCCTCCTGCTGCTGCTCATTCTCCGCCTTCTTCCTCCTCGTGCATATCCTTCGTCCTCTTCCTTTTCCTCCTCCTCCTCCTCCAACTCCTCCTGCTCCTCCACCTCCTCCTCCTCCTCCTCCTCCTCCTCCTCCTCCTCCTCCTCCTCCTCCTCCATGCAGTCAGACGCGGTCTTAGTCCACTCCTCCTCCTCCCCTAATCATCAGACGGGGTCCGAACGGTCATTTGCTGTCCCTGGGTGCGTGGCTTAAGGCGGGCTTTGCGTTGCGGATTTGTGTTGCTGGTGCTGTTGTTGTTGTTGTTGTTGTTGTTGTTGTTGTTATTGTTGTTGTTCGGCGTCGCCCCCCTCCTCCTGACAAGGATGTCGGAGTCGGAAAACCCCCGAGATATACAATAGGATCCATAAATCCCAAAGCCTGTGTAGCTCAGTGGCAGAGCGTCTGTCTAACAAGCTGGGGATTCCAGGCTCAAATTATGCCCCTGTCATTGCATCTCTCCGTTCGTGCGGGTGGGGGGGGGGTTCTCCATTCGCGCGCGTTGGGGGGGGGGGGGAACGAAGGATGAGGGATTGCACATTAGTGCTGCACCACCCCGGATGATGGCCCCTGGACGGGCCCTTCCGCGGATCGGATAGCCGACCCGATCCGCCGATCCTGGTCCTCCTCCTACTCCTCATTCTTCCCCCCGTCCTCCTCCGCCTCCTCCGCCTGATCCTCCTCCTCCTCCTCCTCCTCCTCCTCATCCTCCTTCGTTTCTTCCTGGGTCACCCTGCTCGTCCCCCTCCTGCTCGACCCCTGCTCCTCCTTGGCGCCCTCCCTCCTGTTGCTGCTGCTGCGTCCCCACCATCTTCCTCGGTCCTCCTTTCCTCATCCTTTCCTCCTCCTCCTCCTAACTAAACTAAACTAAACACACATCGGGGGCAACAAAACCAGTCTCAGGGCTCTAGACACCGAATTCCGAGTTCCAGGCCGAAAAACTCAAAAACGTTATGTGCCCCTGTGACGTCGGGAACGAAGTCGGCGCGCGGCCGCGGGGGCCTGGCGGCGCCCCGCTCCGCTTATGCGGCGACGGGGTCCGATACAGCCAGGGGGGCCCGCGACTAGCGACCGACGCTGACTGCATCCAAGCACCGCGGATCCCACCCACCCCCGAGCTGTTGGACGGAGCCACCAGGGCCAGAACCCGCCAAACAGCCTGGGGGTGATGGGGACCCGCAGCGCGTCACGTCCGACTGTGGGCTCTCCTTCGGAGCGACCCAAGCCGGGCAACCCTGCTCTCAAGGGCCCTCAGGAGCTCTCTTCCTCGCTCACTGCCAGTCGCAGCGACCATCGCGGCCACACTGGCCGCCTGCTGCCTCAGGGCCGTCAGCTCAACTTCAGCATCTGGCCCAGATCCTTCTGCAGATCTCGCTCGAGCCTGGACCTTGGGGGCTGGCCGTCGGACCGCACCGCGCCCTCGGCCTCCAGCATGGTGAGGAACGCTGTCCGCACGTCCCTGACGAAGATCGGCATCAGCGGCATGTCGGAGAGGCATCGCGGTCCCTCCGCGTCGCTCTCCATGATCTCCTCCTCGTTCGCCTTCTTCTTCCCCACGCCGTGCTTGCTCAGCCACTTGGGGTTCTCCAGCGGCAGCTGCACGTGCGGGTTGATGGCCATCGCCAGCTTGCTGTACCCCGTCGCCTGCACCTGCTCGTCGAACCTCGCCCGCTTGAGTCGGAATCCCTTGAAGACCTCGCCCGTGAGCGATGGGGACTCCTCCAACGCCGTGTTCATGAGGGACATCACGCACTGCGCCAGCCTGACCTGCTGCCCGTTGCCCATGTCTGCGACGGCCAGCTTGTTGATCACGCCCTTCGCGATCTGGACGTGCGGGCTGCCGAGCTCCTGTGGGGTGTAAGCCTTGGACTCCACCGCCTCGTTGTACTCCTTGCCGCTCGCCTCCGCCGCCTCCACGGTGACGCTGTTCACTGGCACCAGGCGGAAGTCGTACACCGCTCCCTCCAGGCCGCGCTGCCCCTGCATCGTGTTCAGCACCCCCTTCTGCAGCCTGACGACCATCCCGTCGGAGACCCCGCTGGAGCTGGCGGCGGCAGGCCTCGTGCCACCATCGGTCGCGAGCTTCTTCTTCTTCTTGCTGCCCGCCTTCGCCTTGCCCGTGGGTGTCGCCCCCTCTGGTTTGGCCGCCTCTGGTGCCTTCCTCTCCTGCTCGACGTCGTCCTCCCTCACCTGCTTCGCCGTCTTCGGGTCTGGGGCGGACGCCTCGCTCACTGCTTCCATGGTCGCCGAGCGCTCCCTCCTCGTCACCGTGCCCTTCTGAATCCCTCCTGACAGGAACTGAATCGGCTTGACGGGCGGTGCGCTGCCTGCGGTGCTTCCAGCTGCTCTCATCGCTGCCCACTGCAAGAGAAAGGCCAGTGGGGCCCTCGTGATGTGACCGAATATGTACTTGAAGCTCGAGCAAATGGACAAAGGAGCGCTCACAGGCGGGGCATTGGAGGCCATGGGGCTCGATCGGCTCGTGATGCCAGGGAGAGTGGTCGACCATGCACATTCGCCGTACTCGCCTCGCTCCTCGCGATACCCATCCCCCTGATACTCGTGATACGTGCTGCATCGCCCCCTCCCTCGAAGGAAAACAACTCAAGCACCAGGGGCATTGATTCGTAACCACTAACCGTCGAAGTTCGTGCTGCACCCCGTGGACGATGCGACGATGAGTCTGAAGAGCAGCAAAGGAGTGGAATGTTTTGCCACACATCGTGCCATCAATCGTCTCGTTGCAACCAAATTCAGCGGGTGGGGGCGCGATCCACTCGTCTTGAGCGGGCTCTGCCCCGTCCACCCCCTCGCTTGCGAAGCCAGGTGGTGGTATCTGCACGGCGAAGGATGCCGCGCGCATAGCACGCAAATCCAGCCTAATGAACTGGTCGTGCACGTCGCCCTCGTAGAACAGGTCCAGCAGCCCTCCAGGAGCCGACAGCAGCGTCTCCCACATGTCGTGGCAGTCCCCACTCACCTTGCCCATCTCCCTCAAGTCCTTCTCCAATTGTAGGCACCACGGCGTAGAGGTTGAGATAGGCCATCCGTCCTCTCCCAGCCTGCAGATCCCCATCTCCTCCTCGAACTTGCACTGCCCGAAGACCGCCGCGATCACCTGCTCGTGGGCCTTGGGGTACTTCGCCATGCGCTGGTAGAACCGCAGCCTCCTCACCCTCAGCTCGATCTCTGGCTTGGCCAGCTCCCAGTAGTCCCACACCTTGGCGTTCGTGATGGTGCGCGCTGAGCCGTCGTCCCTCCACATGGTAAAACGCCCTCCCATCAACGACCGCAGGAGCTTTGTGAGGACTGTGGTGATCCGCTCGATCTGGCTCTGCGTGACGAGAAGCACGTGCAGCGCCGAGAGGGCGGTCTCGTATACGTAGCTGATGAACTGCAAGCGGGCGCACCTCTTCTGGATCTCGCGGTACCAAGTCGAGCCCATGTTGTACCAGCCCCGCTTCGCCGCCATCACCCTGGCCTTGATCTCCTCGTGCACGGACAGGTCCGCCGCCACAATCGGTCCGAGCAGCCTGGCGCACTTAGCCACCGTCCCCTTCAGTTGCCGAGACGTTGCCACTTTCCTCGTCGCCGTATTCGAACCATGGCCCCGTAGATCGAGCGTGCTGACAGTCTTGTCCTCGTTCAGTCCTCCGCCCTGCTTGCCAATTTCCGTGTTGATCGTCCTGGTGGTGCGGTTGAGCCTGCGGACAATGTCGTTCCCAGTGGCGTGCTTGGGGATCGGGGTGATGCGCGTCACGTCGCCCACGAACACAGCAGCCCCGATGTCGAAGGTCGCGTCGTCCCTGTCGGGGATCGTCGTCTCGAGCCAGTTGAAGCTCTCGTCCTGTTCCTTCAGCCCGTCAAAGGCGTTGCCGACCGCGACCGAGTAGGTGGCCACGAAGCCCCACGGGATCAAGCTGCTGCCCATGGCGCCTCCCTCCTGCGGGGTGAACTCAAGCTCGCCATCAGGGGCCGAGACGGTGACGCATAAGTCGGAAAGGAGTTGTGCGAAGAAGGGCCTGTCCGCGGCCTGCAGTCTGTCACCTGCGTGCGTGAGCCAATGCTCCCAGCAGATGGCATTGAAGGCCCCAGCCGCATCCCAATTTTGCTGCGCAACCGAGAAGTTGGCATCCCTGAGCCGCCAGCATGCCGACTGCAGCGCCAGCAGGGCTGATTCCCTGCTGCGATGGGGTAAGCTGCCGTGCGCCCACTCAGGCCAGTCTCCAGGTAGTTGCCGTCGTCGAAGGCCGCTGTGCCACGCCTGCGAGAGATGGTCATACAAGTGGATCACGCGCTGCCCCTTCAGGTCGGCCCGCCCTTTGTTCTTGTCGAGCCCGGTGGCGCGAGTGCGCTTGCCCGATGGAGCGAAGGTCTTCTTGATGCGCGTGTCTTTTAGCAGGTCCCATAGGCACTGATCGAACTTCGTCATCTGTATGGGTGCATTGTCCACGTAGCCGAGTCCCCTGCCAGTGCTGTCGATCCGTTCCATGGGCGCCAGGCATATGGCGAGCATCTCTGTGCAGACGCCCCACTCGGGAAATGCTTTCCTCCTCGGCGCCCGACGGCAGTATTTTTTGATCGCCTTCAGATCATCCCGAACTTCATCATGTAGAGAGTTGTCATGTACACCGTCTCTCCACATTCCGTTGTCGCGCAGGTACTCGCCCCTGGTGTTGGCCTTCATCAATTGCTGGTCCCAGGAGGTCGTCAGCGCGCGCATGCCGCCAGCGACCCCCTCCTTCGCCATCCCCTCCTTCCACTCCTCAGCGCCCAATGTGCAGTTGGCAGCAATGTATGTACGTTTGCGAATGCCTTTCCCTCTGCCAGCGAGCCGTCCCCTGAGTGCATAAACTCTGGAGAAATCGCGAATCCTCCAAGCCTCCCTCAGCTCCTCGATCCGCTCGTAGAAAGTGTGTTCCTGATGAGCCTTGCGACGTGCCTTGCACTCGCCTGTGAGACGCCGTAGCCGCGCCTCTGCAACCATCACGTTGCGCTCGAAGTCGTGGTTGTGGTCTGCGTTGCTGCGGCCAGCTTGCAGCTCTGCTAGTTCGTGTGCCAACTGAGCCCGAGCCCGCAGAGCCTGAACCCTTTCTTCCACCAGATGCTCGTACTCCGTGCCCAGCCTCCTCGTGGACGGGAAAACAGAGAGAGTGGCGTCGCGGATCGCCTTCGTGAATAGCTGGTGCTTGGTCTCAGGCGTGGGGTCGGAGTCGGAGACGTTCCACTCGGCCTCGACTGCGCTCAGGTTGGACTCGACCTTCTCGCAGAACTCACGCCTCCGCTCGCCCTTAGTCAAGCACCTCATGAGGGAGTCCCGATCCACTCTCTCCGTGGCGCTCCGCAGCGGCGAGTAGCTCAGCTCGTACGTGATGTGGACCTCCATTGGGCAGTGGTCGCGAAGCTCAGCTGTAGGGAAAGGTGAGAGAGTGCGCATCAGATCGGGGCGCGTCCTGATCATTGGCACGAATCCCATCGCCGTGGACGGGACGAACACATGATCAATCCAGCTGTTCGTCTCTGAGCCGTAGTAGCTGGCGGGCAAGCGGAAGTGCGTGTTGGCCGCGGTAAGGTAGTTCGTGGCCGCCCACCATCGTAATTGTTCAACTTGTCTTGATCGCCGATGTCGTCCATGCCGTCCAGCCACCTCGTCTATGTCGCTGAAACCCAGCTGCTCGTTGAAGTCCCCAGCGACCACCACCAGGTACCTGTTGCCTGCCTTCGCCACCTCGTCTGTGATCCAGCCTAAGATGCGCTGCATGGACTCCGTGCGCTCCTCCTGGGTCCCAGAGGGCGTGAGATAAACTCCAAAAACGAGCATCGGAGTCCTCGCCGTCGCAAGCTTGATCCCTCCCGCCCGTCCAGTGATGCCCAGCTTCGGCGGAGGGCTGAGTACCTGGCGAACGTGGTTGCGTCGAACTCTCCTCCCAATCATGATCGTGATGCCGCAGCTCTTGTTCGTGAACCTTCCTCGACGCCAGCCCCATCCGTAGGACACATGCCTCATCGTGCGGATGGCCGTGACGGGGATCGCGTCGTCCCTCTGGCGCTGCTGCGTGCCTGGCAGCACCACAACGTCAAAATTCTGCAGCGCCTCGCTCACGAGCTCCTCCCGCCAGGCCGGCAAGCTCTGCGGGTTGTAGAGGCCCAGCGTGAGCATCCAGAATGCGGCGGCCGCGCGCGCCGCCGCCAGCTGCGCGGAGGCCATGGCACTCGGAGGCCTCAGGGGGCCGGCGCAGGGTCAGCGCCTCCCATCCCACGGCAGCAGGCGCCTCGAGGCCCCGACGAAATCTCAGGCCCGTTGGGGGCCGCCGTGGTCGCCCAGATCTTCCTCGTTCGAGAGGAAGTGGCGACTCCTCCTCCTCCTCCTCCTCCTCCTCCTCTTCCTCTTGCTCCTCCTTCAGCATCTCCTCCTGATGATCTTCGCCCTCGCCCTCCTCCTCCTCCTCTTCTTCCTCCTCCTCCATTTCTTTTCGTTAGAAACATCTCCTCCCTGTCGCACCCCGAGGCCATTCGAAAGGGCGGGCTGGGCGTTTCGCCTGAGACTTCCTCACCATTTAGGACCGTGAAGCTTCGAAGCTGGCAACAGTTTCACACATGGAGGGCAGGTCGCTTCCCAAATGTGGCTCTCGCCTCAGCGCCGCGCACATTCGCTTTAAACAGTTGCAAGAGTTTCACGGATTGAGGGCGGGTCGTTCTCAAAATGTGGCTCTCGCCTTCGCGCCGAGCACATTCGTTAAACAAGTGTAAAGACCTTCACAGAATGAAGGCGGCTCGTTTTAACATGTGTGGCTCTCGCCTTAGCGCCGCGCACATCCGCTTTTTCTTAGTAAAATCAATCGTATGCATACTGTTCTGATGATTAACCATGTTTTACTAGTACGGCTAATTCCTAACACGATTCGTAGTGTTATAACTATCAATTAGGAATCACGGGTTGAGGGCGGGTGGTTTTCAAAATGTGGCTCTCGCCCGAGCGCCGCGCACATTCGTTTTAAAGAATCGCGGGAGCCCCATGTATTGAGAGCGGGTGGTTTTCAAGATGTGGCTCTCGCCTGAGCGCAGCGCACATTCGTCCTAACTATTTTTCGAAAGCTTGCCGTATTGAGGGCGGTTCGTATCTAAACTGTGGCTCTCGCCTTAGCGCCGCTCACATTCGTTTAAACCACTTGCAAGAGTTGTACGGCTTCCCATTACCAACGTGTCAGACATGATGTGTTTGAACGATTCAGGATTGTCGGGGCGCACAAGGTAAGTTAATACGCGGTGCTGAAGTCCAAGGAATGATGGCTTGGCACGGCTGAGGATCGCCAAGACGTAACAAACATGTTAAGTTATGGCGTTGACGTCCCGATACTGGTGTTTTGGCACGCTTCAGGATGTTCACACGGTTGTCCTCCAACGTGGCAATTCACTCAGTGGAAACGACCCCCTTGTATGCGGCCTGTGAATAGGGATCTTGGAGGGAGGGTGTATTGCACCATCGTTGATGGGCCTTGGGTTTGCACTGGCCCTGCTCCTCCTCCTCCTCCTCCTCCTCCTCCTCCTCATCATCATCATCATCATCATCAGCATCAGCATCAGCATCAGCATCAGCATCAGCATCAGCATCAGCATCAGCATCATCATCATCATCATCATCATCATCATCATCATCATCATCATCATCATCATCATCATCATCACCATCATCATCATCATCATCATCATCATCATCATCATCATCATCATCATCATCATCCTTCCCCCGTCCTCCTCCTCCTCCTCCTCCTTCCCCCGTCCTCCTCCTCCTCCTCCTCCTCCTCCTGATCCTCCTCCTCCTCCTCCTCCTCCTCCTCGCCAAGGCCTTCCCCGAGCAGGTCTGCTTCGGCGGCTGGGGCCAGCGGCGGCGGCGCGAACGCCGCGGCAGGCGCCTGCTAGGGTTGAGGAGGCTGGGAGGAGGAGGAGGAGGAGGAGGAGGAGGAGGAGGAGGAGGAGGAGGAGGAGGAGAAGGAGGAGGAGGAGGAGGAGGATGGGGAGGAATGAGGAGGGGAGGGAGAAGAAGAGGGATATGAGGAATGGGAGGGGAGAGGATGCTTTTCTGTGCCTGCGACACGCGATCCACCACAAGCGAATGCAAAGCTGCCCCGTAGAGCGTGCAGCCTGGCCGAGCTGAAAAACATTGCGACCAACACACCAAACCGTGGCCACGCTTGGGGTGACGCACGCGGGAGATCCGCGACCCTTCAGTCTGGCCCCCCGCCCTCCTCAGGACAGTCCTGCACGTCCCCGCAAGGTCCTTGGCCCGACCGTGGCGACCGTAGGCTCTGCAGCGGAGGCGCACGATGGGCCGAGACAGGTCAGACCACTCGAGGGCGACACGCCGACGGCCGCGGCCCTCGAGGACCCCATGGTCCAGCTCTGAGTGCCCAGGGGAGGAACCAAGCGGGGCAGCAGGCTCCGCCCGCGCCCCTGAGATCTTCGGGCCCCCTCCCCCCCCCCAGAAGCTCCCACTGATTTGGCGTGACAGGCTTCTTCGCAGGGCCCGCACCGCGCTACCCCCGACGGCGCACTTCCCCGGGCAGGGCGGCCGTCGTTCCGGGAGGAGCTTGGCCGCCGACAGTCCCACCGAGCGACGGGCTGCAAGCTGCTGGTCCAACAGCTCGAGATCACCAGAGTCGGCCGAGGGGTGCGAAGCGGCGGCGACGCGGGCAGAAGCGTCCAAGGGATTACTCCCGAGGTACAAGGCATGACCGCGGTTGTCGACCGCGTCTTCCACACTCTGGTGGGCCTTCTCTTCTCTCTTCTCTGGCAGACAGTGAAGCGAGGGCAAGTCTGCACGCCTGAATTGAGCACAATCCGCATACACACGTCTGATGCTGCTCTACAGTCGGGGCCCTGAAGAAGGAACCCTTTTGGTTGGGGAGGGGCTCCGCGTTCCTTAAGTGTTTCACAGCTTGCCTCAGGTTTTCCTTATGTTTTCGATAGGAAATCGAAGTTCATGTATGGAAAAAAGGGGCCTCGTTCCTTATTTAGGGTTCCTTAGGTCAAGCCCCCGACTCTACTGAACCCGAGACACAGCGGCAAGCTCATTCACATCACGGTCGGGAGCTTTTGCTTAGCATGTCGCCGCGGCGGCCTCGGCGAAACGCTGCGCCCCGCAAGCGAACAGCGTGCCGCTCCGCTCCGCAGGGCGGGAGGCTCGGAAAAAGAAGGTTCGCGACCCTGACCCTCTGCCCGGAAATGGATCGCGCGTCGCACCGAAGCGTGTCCCCCGCGCTGCAAGGGTCTGCTGGCCGAGGGAGTCGGCCTCAGCACGATCCGAGAAGCCAAACGCAGAGAGCGTCACATAGCAGTGGCCACCATCAGCGGAAGAGTCCTGCTCACGACAAGCGGAGGAACCTTCGGGAGCCTGCGACGCCCCCCCCCCCGCCCTTTGCCCCGACACGGAGGGCCAGTCCGCCCGGCTTGCCGACCTCCTCCAGGCAACACTCCAGGGGCGAGCCGGATGCTCAGAGCGGCGCGGGCGGTTCCTGGCCGTTCGTTCTCTCTCTCTCTCTCTCCCGAGAGAATAGGACTACCCGTGCATGCCTGTTTCAGGCCTCGCTGGCCTGGCTCCACCGCGTACTGCCAGCAGGAGGAGCGAAACAAAGCACATGGGCGGGGAGCGATCGTCCAGGACGGGGGCCCGAAGGACCCAGGCGGGGGCGAAGCTGGCCACGACAGGCTCGGAAACCTTCCTGCCAGCGCCACACCACAGCCCCAAGCAACAAGCGAAAAGCAGATGAGACCTTCCGCGCCTAGCCCCGTCCGCCTCCGCGGACATGGGGTCCAAACGACCCCACGAAAAATTCAACGTCAAGGGCTTGCGCCTGCGGGGGGGGGCCCTGGGGCCATCCACTCCTCGGATTGGATTTTTACTAAGGAGAGTGGACGGAGCCTGGCTTCGGCGAGTCTGCCCAGGAAGTCCTCACAATTTGCATGGCTTCGCCCCTGGTTTCGCATGGACTCGGCCCGGCTTCGCCTGAAAACTTATCGCAGATTGCTCGGTTTCGCCTGGAGTGGGCGCAATTTCGCCCGATACGCCTGTTGTTTCGCCATAGTGTCGCCCCTGGCTTCGGCGCGGTTGCGCTGAAACGTTCTCGGCTTGGTTTCGCTTGGGACAACTTCGGCGCTCGTAGGTGCTCCTCGTCCTCTCCGCGCTGCCAACCATCAATCCTCCGTAGGACGACGGGCCACATGCGCGCCAGAACGAGTGCCGCAAAGGCTCCGGCTGCTTTCGTTCCCACGTGGTGCGCGCCACGCATGTTGCACAAGACAACGGCCGAGACAGTATGAGCGAAAGAGAATGCGAGGGACAACAGAAACAACAAACAAGTACATGAGCGACAGCGAGAGAGACACACGCGCGCGAAGAAAGATGAGCGCATCGCACACGTTGCACAAGACAACAGCCGAGACATCACGAGCGGCCGCGAGAGAACAAACGCGCGAGATGAAAGATGCGCGTACCACGCATGTCACACAAGACAATCGTGACAGCATGTGAGCGAGGTCAACGAAAAATTGCCTTTCGTAGGGCGGCGTGGAGAATGGAAACGTAACATGCAGAGTTCATTGACTGCGAGACCTGTGGCAGAAAGAATACGAGCTCTGATTGCGCTAGCAAAAGGTCTCCCTTTGATTTGATGAGGCCAACAGATGTAGTTAATGTGTTCGTCCTTTGTCATAACTCGAGGTGCGTCCGCATCGGCATCTGCAACAATTCCTTGTGACGTGTCTACTGCATGAGGCGCGTCTGCAATAGCATCTGCATTAGCGGCCAACGCTGGAGGCGCGCTTGCAGCAGTATCGATTCCAGTTAAGTGAATGCGCCCAGGCGGCTCTGAGCCCACGGCAACTGTGTCCGCCGAGTTGTTCATTCTGTCTTTACCTGCTGGAGCTGCAGTACATCGCATTGGCACCTGCTTGCTGAAGCACATGACGCGGCTGCGTGCGTCGATGCCATAACCAACCTGACTGTCGGATGGCATCCCGCCCAAGAATGAAAAGAATGTGAAAGTGCAGCCGTTTGCGTTACACCATTTTCTTCCATGAGTTTATATGTGTTCTGACGGGTTGATCAAAGGTGGAGCAGACGATGCTGTGCGTTGGCCAGCTGCACTGACACCATCAGTTTGGCACTGCATGTTCGCCTCGGTTGAAACAAATGGAAAGCATACGGTGGCTCCGGCACCTCTCCCGCCGTGTACTGGGGCGGCGGCGGTGGATCAGGCAGACTTAGAGACCACGGAGCATGGTAGATCGAAGGAGGTACAACTCAGGGTATTATCCTTCTGTGGTCCCAATCGTCCATGTTGGGATTCGAAGCAAGCTCAGGCGCACATTCGTCAAGACCCTGCAACGAAATATCGGCATATCTGTTGCGCCGTCATGCTTTGCCTTTGATTTAGGTGATTCGCCCAGCACTTGAAAGAAATCGTGCATGAGAGAACTGTGAATGCGTTTTTTTTCTAGCGGCGTAGCCAAGCCTTTTACATGCTTTGTTAAATGTTTTGTTAGGAGAGCGAGAAGCAAGATGAGTAGCATTGAGAGATGTTTAAGCCATGCAAGCAGGGCCTCTGGAAGCTAGCCGAAGCAATCCAAGATACGTTCTCGGTGATCGCGGGCGACCGAGTCCCACCTGAGGGCGGGTCGTCGCGCTTGACAGCAGCACGCGCCTGAATCGCTTGAGCCAAAATGTCTACGGACTCCTCCTCCTCCTCCATCACCTCCTCCTCCTCCTCCTTTTTGACGTTGCTCGGACTTGGTGTGCTGGCACTCCTCCCCTCCTCCTCCTCCTCCTCCTCCTCCTCCTCCTCCTCCTCCTCCCCCTCCTCCTCCTCCTCCTCCTCCTCCTCCTCCTCCTCCTCCTCCTCCTCCTCCTCCTCCTCCTCATCCCCCATTCCTTTTCCTGACCGATAATTTCTCCTTGTCGCACCCCGAGGCCAGTTTTTAGGGCGGGCCGGGCGTTTCGCCTGAGACTTCCTGACCATTCATGATCCTGAAGCTCAGAAATCGGCAGCCGTTTCACGGATTGAGGGCGGGTCGTTCTCAAAATGTGGCTCTCGCCTTAGCGCCGCACGCATTCGTTCTAAGAAGTTACAAGAGTTTCGCGGATTGAGGGCGGGTCGTTTTCAAAATGTGGCTCTCGCCCTAGCGCCGCGCACACTCGCTTTAAACATTTGCAGGAGTTTCACGGATTGAAGGCGGCTCTTTTTTCAAATATGGCTCTCGCCCTAGCGCCGCGCACACTCGCTTTAAACATTTGCGAGAGTTTCACGGGCTTCCCATGATTAACGTACCAGAAGTGGTGTTTTGAAAGGATTCAGGACTGTGAGGGCGCAACACTTATGTTGATTCGCGGTGCTGAAATCCCAGGAATGGCGTTCTGGCACGATTCTGGACCGTCCAGACGCACCAGTCAGGAAGAGGGAGAGGCAGGATAGGAGGAGCAGCAGGAGCAGGAGGGAGGCAGGGGGAGAGGGAGGAACAAGGAGAAGCGCGGACGAGGAGCAAGGAGGAGGAGGAAGAGGAGGAGGAGGAGGAGGAGGAGAGGGAGGAGTGATTGATCTATAAGGAGAAGTAGGACAGTAAGTGCAAGAGAGAAGAGGGAGGTATGAACCGCAGGTAGGCATGAGACGATGGACGAGGAGCGAGGAGGCTAGTACGGTAGGTGAGGAGGGTAAAGAGGACAGAAGGAAGGGAGAGAGAGAGTGGAGGCAGGAGGACGAGGACGAGATAAGGTAGGGGAGGGTAGGCAAAGGAAGCGCGGGAGCGACGTAGGGAACTTGAGCCAAGAGAGGAATTGAGGACAGACGAGGGGGGACGGACGACAGGCAGGAGGCAGTCGATACTTGGAGGAGCCACAACGGATTGGTGCGACTGTTACTGCATGCAGATGCTGCGCTGCCCTGCGGGTAGTGCCCGCCGGGGGGGGAAGGCCGACTGTGCTGTTCGCACCCGAGCGTACGGCTCGGTCTCTGTCTGCGAGAGCCGCCGTGGGGTGGGCTCGCGGCGATGCTCTCGGCTTTAGGTTCGGCCAGGGTCCACGGTTGCAGGTCTCCCGGGAGCTCTTTTGTGTCCTGGTACAGTCCCTGTGGTGAGCGCTTGACACAGGTGTGGAATCCTGCGAAGCGTCGCTCTTGACGATCTCAGGCGGTACGGTTGATTAATTTTTTCCCCATGCGGGGTCCCATCCCCCCGGGCCCGTTTCTCATCCTGGGTGGTTTTCTGACGGTGCCGGGGCCTGGCGAGGGCCCCCGGAGGCCGAGACACGACCAACGAGCGCGCGGACTGCGCCCCCCCTCCCCCCCCCAGAGAAGGAGGAGGACAAGACAGAGGGAGGTCCTCCTTCCTGATCCTCCTCCTCCTCCTCCTCCTCCTCATCCTCATCCTCATCGCTCCTCGCTCCTCGCTCCTCGCTCCTCCTCCTCCTCCTCCTCCTCCTCCTCATCATCACCATCACCATCACCATCACCATCACCATCACCATCACCATCACCATCACCATCACCATCACGCATCACCATCACCATCACCATCACCATCACCATCACCATCACCATCACCATCACCATCACCATCACCATCACCCCCCCCCACCATCACCATCATCATCATCATCATCATCATCATCATCATCATCATCATCATCATCATCATCATCATCATCATCATCATCATCATCATCATCATCATCATCATCATCATCATCATCATCATCATCATCATCCCCCTCCTTCTCATCCTCCTCCTCATGCCTCCCCCTCCTTCTCCTCCGCCTCCTCATGCCTCACCCTCCACCATTCTTCGTCCTTATAAATCACTTCTCCCTGTCGCGCCCCGAGACCAGTCGGAAGGGCGGGCTGGGCGCTTTTTGCTTGAGACTTCTTTAACATGTATGACCCTGAAGCTTCAAGATGGCAACAGTTTCACAGACGGAGGGCGGGTCCCTTCCAAAATTTGGTTCTCACCTGAGCGCCTCGTTCGTTCGCCTCGACAAATTTGCGCAAGAATTCGACGGATTGACGGCAGGGCGCTTTCAGAAGGTGCCTCTCGCTCCAGCGCCGCGCACGTTCGCTTTAAATATCTGCCAACAATTCACAGACGGAGTGCGGCTCGTGTTCAGAATGTGGCTCTCGCCTCAGCGCCGCGCCTCAGCTCGTCTTTGAAGCCAAAACCATTGATTTTACTAGGGTTTTGGCCCCATTTTGGCCTTCTGAGGGGGCCGCGCTCATCTTCCCTCATAGCAAAATCATTGATTTTACGAAGGTTTTGGGCTCATTTTGTCCTTCTCAGGGGGCAGCGCTCATCTGCGCTTCTGAGGAGGTCGCAAGAGGCCCCAAGATGGCCCCAAGAGGCCCCCAGGAGGCTCCCAAGAAGCCTCCAAGAGGCCCCCAAGAGGCCCCCAAGAGGCCCCAAGAGGTCCCCAAGAGGCCTCCAAGAGGCGCCCAAGAGGCCCCAAGAGGCTCCAAGAGGCCCCCAACAGGCCCCCAAGAGGCCCCCAAGAGGCCCCCAAGAGGCCCCAAGAAGCTCCAAGAGGCCCCCCAAGAGGCCCCACGAGGAGCCCGAACGACTCACACCAGGACGAGAGACCCCAACGACTCACACCACGAGGAGCCCGAACGACTCACACCACAAGGAAGGGCCCGAACGACTCACACCAGGACGAGGCGCCCGAACGACTCCCACCACGAGGAGCCCGAACGACTCACACCACGACGCGGGCCCCGAACGACTCACACCACGAGGAGCCCGAACGAGTCACACCAGGAGGAGGGGCCCGAACGACTCACACCAGGACGAGGGGCCCGAACAACTCACACCAAGAGAAGCCCGAACGACTCACACCAGGACGAAGAGCCCGAACGACTCACACCACGAAGAGCCCGAACGACTCACACCAGGAAGAAGGGCCCGAACGACTCACACCAGGACGAGAAACCCCAAACGACTCAAATCACGAGGAGCGCTCTCTCTCCCTCCTCCTCCGCCTCGTCCTTCTCCCGCTCCCCCCACAAGGAGGATGTACAAGGACGCGGGAGGAACAAGGAACAGGGGAGATATGCGGGGCCAAGCGGACACACGCCTGAAAAACACGACTGTCGGCATGCTTCGCAAGAGTTGCTGCTGTGAGATGGGCTGGTGGGGATACGCGAAGCGTAAAGAATTCACAGACGGAGTGCGGCTCGTGTTCAGAATGTGGCTCTCGCCTCAGCGCCGCGCACACCCGTTGTTTGTTAAACTCTGCAAAACCTTCACGGTCTGAGGCGGGCCCCTTTCAAAATGTGGCTCTCCTCTACTGACTACCTACCAGACCACCCCAACCCAACCCGAAGACCCGAATTTCGGGTTGGGGGGGTACGGGTTCCAGATGTGTTTTCTCGAAGTTCCTTGACCCCCCCCAACTGGAAATGGAGGTCAAATCGAGACCTTCGGGTTGGGTTGGGGTGGTTTGGTGGGTGGTGACTTACCGCCACCCACACTCGTTGTAAAGATTTGCAGGAGTGCCACCGGTGCCCCTGGCTCTCGCACCAGGAATGGTGCTCGGGAGTAGTACGTTGACTCGCGGTGTCGAAATCCCATGATTGTGTTCTGGCACGGTTCAAGGTCGTCAAGACGCAACAATCAGGTTGATTCGTGGTGCTAAGAGTCTCAGTAACCGTGTTTTGACACAGCTCCGGATATTCAAGCGGTTGTTTACCAACGGGACATTTCCATCAGTGGAAACGAATCCTTATAGGGTCCTATGAAGACAGAGCTTGGAGGGAGGGTGTATTCTAATGTCGTTGATGAGCCTTGGGTTTGCATTGGCTCTCCCTCCTCCTCCTCATCCTTCTCCTCCTCCTCATTTCTCCTCCTCCTCCTCATCCTCCTCCTCCTCCTCCTCCTCCCCCTCCTTCTCCTCCTCTTCCTTGTCATCCTCCTCCTCCTCTTTCTCTTTCTCTTTCTCCTCCTCCTCCTCCTCCTCCTCCTCCTGCTCCCTCTCCTCCCCTTCCGTCCTCCTGCTCCCTCTCCGTCCCCTCCTCTCCTCCTCCTCCTCTCCTCCTCCTCCTCCTCCTCCTCCTCCTCCTCCTCCTCCTCCTCCTCCTCCTCCTCCTCCTCCTCCTCCTCCTCCTCCTCCTCGAGGGGGAGGCTTCGCCTGCGCCGCCGCGGCCGCGCCGTTGGCTGGCGGCGCGCCCTCCTCGGCTGGGGGCGGCCGCATCCTGCACACCGGGAACGGGCTGGGCCCCGCGGTGGGCACCTCAGCCGGGGGCGGTGGGCGAATCGACGAGGACGGACTGGCTCGCTGCTCGCTCCCCGCTGCTCGCTCCTCGCTGCTCGCTCCTCGTCGCTCCTCCTCCT